AATCAGATCTTGCGTAGTTCGGGAAGATTGAAAATGGAGTAAATAAACTAATTTTTTTTGTTGGTATTTTTGAAAGAAATGCTTTAAAAGAAGAAAGGAAATTTTTTTTTTGATTTTTATATTTTAATTGTTGTTTTGTTTTTAAAAGAAAGACTTCTAAAAATTCATTTGCTTTTGATTTGAATTTTGGGAATTATAAAAGTAAAATGAAAATATTTTTGTTTGAATTTTCATTTGTTTTCTCTTTTTCTAAAGAAGAAAGAAAATATTTTGGATTTTGAAAGTTGCCTCTTAATTTTCGAAAGAGAGACTTTTAAGAAAATGTTTTGAATTTCTGAGATTTTTTATTTATTTACAAAAGTACTTCTAAAGAAAAGCAAAATATTTTTGGACTTCAATTTTCAATTTTTTTTTGACATTTACGAAAGAAATACTTTTAAAGAAGGAAAAGAATAATTTCTTTTTTTCTTGATTTTTTTTTAAATTTTTTTGGAAAAATACTTCAAAACAAAGAAAACCCGTATAAAATACTCCAGAAAGAAGGAAATTACTTTTTTTTTGAGTTTTAGAAACTTCCCCTTTTTTTGAATTTTCGAAGGAAATATTTTTAAAGGAAAATATTTTTGGATTTTTGAAAATTGGGGTCGGAACCGATGAGATTTGCCTACGTATCTCACATCCGGTGAGAATCAAACCTGCGTAGTTCAGTCAGTTTTGACAGAACAGGGAAATATGTCACTTGAATATTTTGGGTTCATTTTGAAATGACTTTTCTTTTTTTTTTCTTTTCAGAATTTTCTAAATACCTACCTCTTCACTTTTTTTTTTTTCTTCCTCTGTTCTAGGAGTCGGTCAACATGCAAGCCGAAACAAACAGATGTGTAAGTAGCACGTAAAATGTATCAGGATGGTCTTTTTAATTTGGGTACACTTGTCCTAGACGGACCCAACCCCTGTGTTGAGTCCCCAAAGTCAAATGCATGTAATGCAAACAAACGTTCCTACTAGGGATCCGGCATGAGGCTATGTTATATTAGGTTTAAAAACCTGGGTGTATTGTGCTAGACCTGGCTTACCCGAGCGGACAGCTCGAGCCGAGGGGGGGCAGCATACCGGGAATACAGAAGCTTCACCGGCTTTGCAACTTGTCCGAACCTCGTTCTAAAATTGGGATATGACTCTAATAGAAAAGAAGTTACACGAAGTGCACACTTCCCAGATGATTTAGAAGACTCGGAAAGAGGAGGGTTTCGTAACAATTTATATGCAAGTCAAACAATATCAAAGCGGTAAAAAACAGCAATTATCACATTAGGCTCAACATGTAAAAATCAGATAAAAACAAGCCAACTGTAACAGTTATTCTAAGCTCGAATTCTTGAACTCTGAACCAAAAGTTCTGGGTTATGTTCCCTAGCAGAGTCGTCAGAGCTGTCACGCCTCCTTTTTACCACCCAAGAGAATTATAAGGGAGTTTTTTCAATTAAAGTGACATTAATCGAAATGGGATTATTTTATTTCTTTTTATCAGAGTCGTCACTTGGAATAGTTTATTTGGTGTCCCAAGTAATCGGTTTATTTTAAAATCCCAAATCGAGGAAATTTCGGCTTTATTTAAAAGTCTGCAAATCAGAAATTCTAAGTAAGGAATTTTGTTAACCCGGGAGAAGGTGTTAGGCATTCCTGGGTTCTGTGGTTCTAGCACGGTCTCTTAAACTATTAAAATTGGACTAATTATCTGATTAATTACATGTTTTAAACCTATTGTGCATTTTTAACTTTATAACCACTTTTATTTATCCAAACTGCTTTTAGGATATGAAATTATTTCTTGAACAAGTTACGATTGTCAAACACTTGTCGTTTTGGAACACACCGCAAATCACGCTACATGAAATGCGCTCGCGATTTGCGACATATTTATTTTATTATTGTTCAAAGTTGTTATGATCGGGTTACATGAAATGCACACCCGATTTTGGGGATTAGGTATCATAACTATGTCACGGAAATCGCACACATAGTCACAATGATTTATTTAAACGCGCCTAAAGCAAACTACGAAAGTTCAAGGAATTTTCTATACTAATATTTTTATTTATGCGAGGGCCATAAGTTATGGATTTTGTTTGTGTACGGCACACCTCAATTTATTTTAAAAGAATTTGTACTCAATTAAAGCAACCTATGAATGTTCATTAATTATTTATCCTAAATTTGGAATCACATGGAGGAGTTCGAATGTTATAGAGTAATACAAGCATGGTGTAAAGTTAAATCATGGAAATTGGGAAATCAATTAATTCATTAAAAATGCGCAATTGGGATAAAGGAAAAACCTCAACGTAGTATAATCTCACATCCTTGAATGTACTGCCCACTCATGAATGGCAACCAAATACAATTAGGACCCGATAATTGCTAGGCATGACTACTTTCTAAATAATTCATAGATTTCCAACTAATAAACATAATATTCTCATTTGACCACTAAATATGAAAACTAAATGAGTACTGCACAAAAAAAAAATCCACTAGAACTACATATTCAAACAAATATAACCTATATGTCCATGCCTTACATACACTGATTCATGGATACACGGACAAAAGTAAGTCACAATAGCATCATCTATAACAATATAAGCAAACTCGCTTTAACCCATACAATATTCTATATTAATTGATGAACATTTAGCAATTTGAATTGCAGCTTCAACGCATGCTAACATCAGAAATTAACAAAGAAGAACTCCAACAACTTTATAGCCTAAAAGAAACATACTAAACTTGTGAATCAATAAACAAAATCTGATGATTTATATTTCATTCACAAAACAACAACACAGAGTTACAATTTCGATTAGGTACATACCTAAATAGTGGCGCAACAGCAGAATAAAGAGGAAGAAAATAAGCCTCTGAATCGAGACCCAGTCATAGCTTGATAACACAGCAGCGAGCAACAGAAACTGAAGTTAAACTCAAACTTCACATTCAGAAAAACTGAAACCCAGCTATCCGAGAGTGAAACCAGCCAATGAAACTCTTTTAGTTTTTTTTTTGTTTCTGAAAATCGAAGTTGAATTTCCAGAAATTTTTCTATTTTGTTTCTTTCTTTTTTTTCAATTTCTCGTGAAGCTTTGGTTTCCAGATTTGAGATGCAATTTCGGATCTAGAAATTTGCTTTCAGATTTTTGTTTTTATTTTTTTGTATGAGTGAGGGGAGGAAGTAGGTGAGAGATAAGTGAAAATTTGGGGAGTAACAGTGAGGTGAAGAGTGGAGAAAGAATGGAGAAGAAAGAAAAGTTGCGGTGGGTTTTCTCTATGAAAGAGCAGGGGTGAGCCTCGTTATTTCTCTGTTTTTTGCTCGAAGAAATGCGCCGTTTTTTTTTTGTCTAAATCTGAAGGGAAGCCCTACCCTAGTGTTTAGGAAAGTGGGGTTTTAAAGAGAGGGGGTGGGCCAATCCCGGTCATGGGCTGGCGGTTTTGGGGTGAAATTTGGGTAATTTTGGGCTGGTTTTGGCTAAATTGGTCCAATTCCGAAATTAACAACTCCTTTCAATTTAACTCTTTTATCCTCTTTTCTTTTCTTTTTATTAATTAAAATCCTAAATCTATCTATTTTTGTAGAAATAAAAATTCTTTATTTATTTTTTACATTAAAACAACTAATTAACTTAAAACTAAAGAAAAATACTAATTTTAAAGACTAAAATCTAAATATGTAAAAATGACCATATTTTGTGATTTTTACTTACTAAAATTTATCCTTACATGCAAATTGAACCTAAGATGCCATGAAATTAAAACATGACAATTCTTTATGATTTTTCAATGATTTTAAAATATTAAAAATGCATGAAATGCAACTAAATAAAGAAAAACTCCTAAAAATTAATAAAAAATATTTTTAGCATATTTTTAAGAGTTATTTTTATGTAGGGCAAAAATTAGGTGCTCACAACTTGTAGTCTGTAAAAATTAGACAAAATGTTACATAATTACTAGGAAAAACAAGAAAAGTTCAAACAATTAAGTACTGGGTTCAATTATATCTTTAACATCGTTTTAGAAACAAAGAAAGCACAACTTCAAACCATCCCGTGAATTTTCACAAGTGGAGTCCGAGAAACTTCTAGGTTTGGTAGCACAACTGCTTAATGTTATATGGTGTAACTCTTATGTTTTACCTTCTCATGAAAGTACTCCCTCCGGTTCACAATAAGTGACCAATTTGACGCCCATTAAGAAAATACTAAATTCTATACAAAAATACCTACTATGACTAAACTACCCCTAATTAAATATTTAATGTGAGGAGTAAGAACTTTTTAGGGATATGTACATAGGGGTTATTTTGTAAAAACAAATTGAATTTTTTCTTGATTACATAACTGAACACTTATTTTGAACCAAAATGAAAAAGCAAATTGATCACTTATTGTGAATCGGAGGGAGCAATTATCTAGGTACTACTATACTATGTATGTATCCTAAGCAAATCAAGTTATGTAAAAAACTTTTATAGTAATCAAATGTATGAGCTGATGCATGCACTAATTATTTTTGTATGGAGTATGCAAACCTTTTGAGAGAAGTGGTTGTGCAACCAAAATAGTTGTTTATTCAGAATAAACTGCAATTGCAAAACAACTATTTTGCTTGCACAACCACTTCTCTCAAAAAGTTTGGACACTGCCTACAAACATAATTAGTGCATGCATTAGCTCATACACTTGATTAAAAGGAAAAGCTGGGTTGTAACCTGCTTCTTTTTCCAGCTTTCCTTTAGCTCCTAATGGATTTTTCAGAGATGGATGCTTTTGCAATTTAAAGCCTTGAAAAATCACTTGAAACAGGATTGCTAGACTCGGATCAAAGCATGAAGAGATAGCCAAAAGACTCATCGAACAATGTTTCAAACAAAGTAACACGAAGAGATAGCCAAAAGACTCATCGAACAATGTTTCAAACAAAGTAACACGAAGAGATAGCCAGAAGACATAACGAACCATTAATTGAACAAAACATTCATTGAAGAGCCACAGCTGGAGAGACAACACAGAAACATAGGACACAGAAAGCAAATACAGTGCTTTGATAAAATAAGCAAACACACACAGCAATGACCAGGTCTCTAAACAGAACAGTACGACACCAGCAAAATACTGCTTTATTTTGCAGCACCAAAAGCGAAGGTGCATTGGACATCTAGTTTCAAAAACCTATATAATTTGGCTAACAAAAACAACATTATTGGTTGACGTAAACGGACACAACTGCACTAGAGACCATATCATAAATAGATCAAAGGGAAAAAGAACCACTCGTGCATTAAGTTACTCATCCTCAGTTTCAGATTCAGCACTCTGCAGCCACTCCACAAATGGCTTAACATTCTTCCAGATTGGGGAGAGTTTGTTGCTACCTTTCGATCCCTTCTCATACCACTCCACAATAAACTCCTCTTCCAGCATATCAACGTCATAAAGTGCTTTCAGAACCAACGCAACCTCCTTTACAGCTTCTGAGCTTGATTTTCCACAAAATGACTCAATAGCATGTAGTAGAACTAGCTGCGAACCATCTTCCTGTAAAACAGCTGCAAGATAAAAAATTTTCTTGGTCACCTCCTTGGAAAAACCTTTTCCAACTCCACCAAAAAGAGCTTCAAACAATGCATCAACGATGTCTTGATGAGTTCCAGAAATAGAGCCCAAGAAGGACTTCAGCTGAGCCACAGACGAACCCTTATTCAGGTGTTCCTTGATTTCATCAGCAAGCCTCTCTTTAGCATCAACAAGCTTCTCCTTGGAATTACTATGCTTAACACCATTGGTCTGTGCAACAAGCGACTCTTTGGAATTACTACAGTTAACACCACTGCCTTGCCCGTCGGCCTTGGGCTTCTCCTCACGTGCTGGTGAGCTTTTGCCAGACTTCTCTTCAGTTGCCGAAAGCATAACCATGCTAGCAGTAACAGCATTCAGCTGCTCCTGAATGCGCTGCTGGGCTGCTGCCATGGAGGTGTCCGTCTGCCATTCAACATCATCATCACTGTCAGCAGGTGGCGCTTCGGTCTGATCAGCTTGGCTACCAGTGGGAGAGTGCTCCTCATCTGACATATTGGCCTTTTTCTTAGATATTTTTGACAAACCTTCCTTTGAGGAACCTTTTTTCTTTGCAGCCTCTTTCTTGAGTTTCTTTGCCTCTTCATCTGCTGCTTCCCCTTCTTTGAGGCGTTCTTTTTCAGCCCTCCTCATTGCCTTTTTATCTTTAGATCCCTTCTTCTGCTCAGGAGGGTTCTTGAGAATAAATGTGGTGAGCTTGTCCCTCATGTCAACATCAGAGATAAAGCCACACGCAGCACACTTAAGGGTTAACATCTGTGATTTTGTGATCAAAATCTCAGTTTCAGGATTCCCGCAGCCATAGCATTGAACATATTTTTTGATGAAGTTCTCAAGAAGTCCAGCAAGCTTTGCAGTGTCATGGGCACCATTAACATGAGAGGTACCTGTTTTCTCATCAAATTTAGACTGAGCTCCGAGTTCACAGCCAAAATACTTTGTGGTGTATGATGCTGGTCTGCCCAGTGCCTTGGCTATGTCAACCATGTTCACCACATTAGTCTTGATGCCATTTCCACGACCTTCAATCTTTGTAATCATTCTTGGCATCTTGTACCTGTAAAAGGCATCATCCTTGTTTCCGGCACCAATGTTTTGCAAAGCCATTTTAATTTCACAATATTTGCTCGATAAGCTTTATCAGAAGTGGTACAAGGAGCCTAAATCGATGAGGATTTCTTGATCTATGGATGGGGCAGGCTGTATAAAATGATCCTTCAGATAGCGCTTGTGTGCTTGTGATGACTCAAGATGCATGCAGCCAACTTTATGAGAGAGTCTAGACGGAGGACAGTACTCTCCAAGCAGCCCGATTGATGACAGAAAGAGAGAAGCTCTTTCAGACATAAAAGAAGTTTCAAACTTAACACCCTCCACTTTTGCTAACTGCAGATAATGCAGTTAATACTTGAATAATTCTGAAATGAAACAATCAATAGTCAAGAATTTCTGGATAATTAAAGCACAAAACTTAATCTTTTGGACCAACATTATCGTATATTTAGGAGAAAGACTGTACACCAATACACAGCTCAAACTGCAACATCAAGTATCAAATTAGTCCAGAATACGGAACATATGCACAAAATACTTCTATAAATGAAGCAGAAAAACACCAACAGACAGGTGCTATTTTAATGATGCAATCTCCTTAGAGAGGCAAAGCCAAAGAACAAATAGCAATGCAATACCTCCAATCGTACTTTCATTGACTTTCAATCAAAATCAAATTGCATTCAACTTTGATATCCGAAATTATAAAATAAATATCATCCATCAATGTGTAGAACTTTTATAGTAGTAGAAATTGCATTAAAAAAAATCTTTTTGATGTGGTAATCTCCAAGCCCAAACCTCTGCCCAGCAGCTAACATTGGTCCTCTCTAACTTCAACGCCCTGGTTACCTTAACCCCCAACTATTAAAGTTAGAGGTGGAGGATGCTACTAAAACCCCTTGTGGAGGAGAGAACATTGAATTCTCTTTAACCAAAGTCTATGCAATAAAACTATATACAAATCAGGGAAGTCACAAATAAATAACCATCATCGGCAACAAACTAAAGAAGTTACTCTAAGGTGTTGTATTGATTAAACTAATTGTTGGGCATCCTTTATATATGGGCTTCCATTCAATTAAGCTTTACTAGATATTGAATAGCCTGTATAATTAATTAGTAAACTACAAATTCAGAACAAAAAAGACCTTGATATGTGAACTAGGAAAAACAATCTCAAAAACAGTAAAGTTATGACACATTTTGAGCAATTTACAAAAGTTACATCATGCAACACAAAACTAACAAGTTGCTTCCAATTTCATGGGTATTATTAATAGAATAACACACAATTGACTAATAAGCACATCTAAACAACAACAACTATGGTAATTTTAACCAAAACAAAATAACACATTTTGGAGAACTCAGGAAAAAAAGGATATAGATCTGACCATATTGTTGCTATGTAGGTAAATTTCAACAAAACAAAAACTAAATTAAATCCAAATATGAATTCACAATATTCAATATCTGACCAATTAGATATGTAGTAAGAAAAAACCTAATATACAAATAAAAAACAGAAAACATTCCTACCGATCTATGAAAAAACAGAAAAAATCAAAACTGAGTCTAACTTTACAGGAGGTCTATGGTCAAAACAAAGAAAACCCAGATAACGAAAATTAGATCTAAACACAAAATCAGTATTAAAAAAAGAAACAAACAAAGAATAACAATCAATATGAAAGAAAAAGAAAAAACTGGGATTCCAGAATAAAGTGGATATATACCTTGAATGAAGAAGAGGGAGAAAGGAAGAGAAGTGGCGATGGAGATTCGGTATTCTCAATTCTGTGGCTGTAGGTTGCGTCTACAGATGGAGAAAAGAAAAGAAGAGATATATAGGGAGAAAGAAAACCCTACGCCTCAAGGATTAGGTCATCAGGGTAAGGTGAAACTTTCAAATTTTGATTTTTCCTCTCCTTTTATTTATTCTTTTTGCAGCTTTTTTCCCTGTTATCTTTTTCCACATTTAAATGTTTTATTTCTTAAAATTTCAAATTTGCTCGTGAGATGATTGGAGTTATTCGTTACCCTCACGAATTATATCTAATTTATCTTTGGGCTATTTTTTTTTTTAATAATATGCTTTGTTTTATCATAAAAGTCTCATTCTCGCACGTGCATGATTCACGATGCACGTTAATTTTCTATATACAATCTACGAATTTTACTAACATTTGTTGATGTCACTCAACATGCCGAGAGTTTCTCCCTTATTTGCTCTGTACACGGATCTAGAATTTAAATTTTATGGGTTTAATTTTTAAGATTTTTAGCATTGAACTCGTTATATATTTAAAGTTATGGGTTCAAATCTATTATTTTGCAATTTTAATAAATTTTTACACATAAATTTCTACTCCGCGTAGAAAGTTATGGGTTCAATTGAACCCGTAACTCTCACGCTGAATCCACCTCTGCTCATGGACGTTAGGGGTTATCTATTTCATTTTTATCTTTTGTTATTATTCTTGTTTCTTTTGTATTTTATGATACTTAATTTTTCTTATAGTGATTTTGTTTTCTTTCTATATTTATTTTGCATGACTTCCTTCTTTATATCTCATAATTTTGATATTACTTTACTACTATATATAAATCTGTCTATATAGAATAGGAAAGGCAAAACAATCTATCTATATCTAATAGGAAAGGCAAAACAATATTAGAATGTCAAGTGGCACAACCATAATTCAACAAGTGTTAAATTTGGGACAAACTTCCAATACATTTGGAAATTCAAAAATAATTTAAAATAGAGAATAATTTGAATTTTTTGAACCTTCCCACTTAACTACAACATGGACTCCCACGTTGGATTCAAACTGTTTTTGGGCATTTTTTAAAAATTATTTACTAACCCTTAAAATTAAAAAAAAATATTACTCCAAGTCTAAATCATTAAATTTACTTTTTCAGACGTTGCGAGAATGTAGTAAAATACTTTTTAAAAATTATTTACTAACCCTTAAAATTAAAAAAAAATATTACTCCAAGTCTAAATCATTAAATTTACTTTTTCAGACGTTGCGAGAATGTAGTAAAATACTTTTTAAAAATTATTTTACATATTTGATATTGTACTTTTTAAAATTATTTATTAAACATGAAAATTTAAGAACATAATAATTACTGCAAGTCTAACTTATTAAATATACTTTCTCAGACGTTGCGAGAATGTAGTGAAATAGTTTTAAAAAATTATTGTACATATTCGATACTGTACCTTTTCATCTAAAAGACAACACGGTAATAAGCTTAATAGCCTATTTAGGGTGTGTGTTCATTTTCCTTTAAAAAAATTATTTTGTATTACCCCAAAATCTCCCACGTTTATAAATGTCCCATGTTTGTTGGAAATTGGAGAAATTTATTCGTTCAGTTACTTTATTTTTTAGATAACTTGGCAATTACGAATAAATAAAAACTTTCTTCCATTGTTGGAATCGGCAATTTTTACAATTTATTTACGAAGAAAAAGAAGAAAAATTTATATATTATTAAAATGAGAGGAAAAGCCTTCACAGGTTATTACTTCACACAAAATAAAATATATAATAATGAAATAATCACAACAAACATAGTAAAGAATGTAAAAATTAAAACTTTATATTGAAAATAAATTCTATATTTTCTATCTATATATAATAGGAGAGGCAAAACAAGGATGGGATGATACGTGTCATCACCAGAAAAATTTTAATTTTTAAAACCAAAATATCTATTTATATATCTTCTATTTATTATATATAATAGGAGAGGCAACGCAAGGTTATACTGACAAGTGGCATAACAGTAAATTGACATGTGTAGATTTTTTGGACAATTCTCCAACTTTATTGAAGTTTCAAATTTATTTAAAATCACAATTGGCAACCACAATATTATTTTAAACTAGAAAATAGGCAGACGAAAAAAGAAAAGCTCAACTTGCGAATTCAAATCGTTCGCTAATTTAAACTGTTCTTTTCCACTAATTGAAATTGTTCCAAACTATTATCACTTCTAATTATATTGATAACTTCTCTCTCTTTTTTTTGTTGCTCTTTTTGCAGGTTTTCAGAGATTTTCGGTCATGAGGTTTGTGGTACCAAATGCAGGTTATTATGCATTGTTGTTGTAGTTATCACTTAGAATTTTACCATAACAATTCAATGGATATTTATATTTATGACTATGTATATCCTAATGGCGATTTTAATTTTTTCATGAAAGTGGGTAAGATTTTTTAGGCTATGACGTCATTTTCAAAACTCAAATTCTTTTAATAACATTACTATGAAATAAGGATGTAATAATAATTTGGATCTTAATGTGATCTTCTCCTACATCTACCAATTAATAATTTACCAGGTCTTTTCTTTCTAGGTTATTGTTGTTTTCTGACAATGTTATCCTATTGCTTTATGAATTTATGTCGGGTTGGATGGAACTTATTTTTTTATATATTTTTTTATCTTATATACTCTTAAAAAACCTCCATTTTTCCCTCTTCTTTTGCGTATTGATATGTTGCAGCTTTTGCTGGTAAAAAGAATAACGTATTTCCTCTTCTTTCAGGCTATTTGTGTGGAATGGGCAATAGAACGAGTAATATAATGCGAGAAAAAGATGAACTTATTTCTTTTATTTTTTCGTATTATACACTCTTTGAAAACGTAGATTTTGGCTATTTTTTTAATTGAGTTTTAATGTCACAAAATTTAAAATTAATTATATCTCCTAAGATTTTGGTAACTGATTTTATCTCCTAAATTTTGGTAATTGATATATATGGATTAAATTATTTTTTGTAGCTCTTGGCTATCTTTTTAATGAATTTTTAATGCCATAAAAAATTAAAAATTGATTATATCTCTAAATTTTCTGGCAATTGATACATATTGTAACTTAGTAAATATTTCAAATAAAAATTATATAAATTTTGTTGTTGTTTGGTCCTTCTTTCATCCTATTAGTACCTCAAGCATATCAATTCAGCGCAACTTTGTGGGTAGTTTTCACATGGAACTAGGATTTAAAAGGATACTTACACTTTTTATTTAAAAAGAAAAGAGAAAAAATAATTACCTTACCTAAAATTAACTATTCGAACGTGGGTGACAGTTGATTTACGCCTTGTTTGGATGGTTGTTACCCATTGTATCGTATCGTATTGTTACTTTAAATGCAATGTTTGTTTTGATTGATACTTAAATTTTATTGTATCGTATCGTTAAATCCATCGTTACATAACGACGAAATGTGTCACTTTATGTAACGACCGATTTGGTGAGGTCGCGTCGTTACCTTGTCTTTTCTCTCAATCTCACCCTTTATTATTATTAAATTATTTTATTTTATCATTTACCCTACTTTTTTATATAGTAATTTTACCTTGTATAATAATTTTTTTTTATAATATTGCAACTTTATTCTTCATATTACTGGTGCGTGATATCATGAAACGATGGCAAACGACACAATCTATCCAAACAGTGTATTTATCAAAAGATACAGTACAATACAATACAGTACGATACGATACATTATGAAACGATGTGTAACAACCATCCAAACAAGCTGTTAAGTTAGCTAATTTCTTTATTTCTTTTTTTTTTTAAATCATTTTCTTTTTTCTTTTTAAAATAAAAAGCATATATATTCATCAAAATTCAAACAATATTATTGATAGAATAAAATTTAAAATAAAAAATATATCAAGAATAATAAAATGTATATCTTCTATTATATTAAAAGAAGAGTGGCAGATAAAAATATTAAATAAAGTAAAATGCTAAGAAAAATTTCTATTAACAATGTGATAATACTAAACATTGGATAATATATAATAAAGAAAATACATAACAAAAAAGCTATTCGATGACTATATAAGTCTCCTTTAATTTAATAAAGATTTTAGTATTGGGTATATCGTATTGAAAATAAGATGACAATTGAAATTTATTAAAGCAATACGGTCTAATATGTTCAAACGAGTCCGATTACAATTTAATTAAATTAATATTTTTTAATGTTGATCGTGCATCGTCCGGGTACGACTACTAGTGGGAAGAAGGTATACGAACACAGCTGTACCAAGTTGTACAAAATGTTTCCTGAGATATACTTTTGTTGGGACGAATACAACTCATGAGCATACATGTGTTTTAGTCGTGTCTCCTTCTATTTTCTTTTCTTCATTTTTTTCGTTCCAATGCTCTCTATTCTTGCCATTTTTCCGTGTCCCTCCCTGCAGAAGTACCACAAAAATTTTCCAAAATATATAACCCTCAATTGTATATGTAACTCCTAGACTCATGCTTGAACCACCGACCTGGATTTCTATCAAAATTCTAAAGATGCTAAGTAAATATGGAAATTGGGAAGTTCTAAAAGATTGATCTATTCTCTTTGTTCCGAGTTGGCTGACGGCATGGCGCTCTATAGTTGTAACGATCTGACCGGTCGTTTTACTTTGTAGATCTCTGTTCCTCTAATTAAGACTTTTCATAGGTGTTTTTACTGTTTTAAGACTCGCGGGGATGGTTGGTTTGGGTTTGGAAGGGTTCTGGTTGAAATCGGAACACTTAGTTCCTTAATAGTGTCCTAGGGTGGTCACGTTTGACTTGGGTCAACATTGTTAGTAAACGACATCGGAACCTGAATTTGATGGTTCTAATAGGTTCATATGATGATTTTGGACTTGGGCGTGTCTTCGAATCGAGTTTTGGATGACCCGGAGCATTTCGGTGTTTAATGTTGAAAGTTGGTTCATTAAAGATTTTCTAGTTCTTTAAATTTGATTTGGAATAGACTTTGGTGTTATCGGGGTCCGTTTGGAATTTCGGGCCTAGGAATAAGTCTGTATGGTAATTTATGACTTGTAT